CCAAGAAACTAGCTGGGCTTCCATCCAGAGCCTGCCCCCCCACCCCGATCCCCTACCCCAAGCTCCCTTCTGCACCCGGCCTCCATCCCAGACCCTGCATCTCCTCTGTTAATACCCTGGAAGTGTGTGGCCCTCCACCACTTTCCAAATTCTTCTGTCCCCCCCCATCCGAAATCATCGCCCACCCCCAGGGAGAAGCAGCTGCAGTGATTCTATGGGGAGATGAGAGGAGACGGCTGCTGCCTCCCCCCCTCGGGGCTGTCTATGGAAACAGCAGCAAGGTCAATTTGCCCCCACCGGGGGCGGGCCAGTGCCCTACGGTGGGCTCCTGCCTCCGTGGGAGCCACACAGCCTGCCACTGGAGCCCCCCCACACGGCCCCAGCCCTGGCAGCAGGAGCACTCAGGGACCCTGCTGGAAAGCTGGCCCGCCCAGCAGGTGGCAGACCCACAGGGGCCCAGGGCCTGTGAGCCACGGGCGTCGCCCCACTGAGCACAGCAGGAGAGGGAGCAGGGCACTGAAGGGGCAGAGCGATGGCACAGCCAGTGCCCCACAGAACCAGGGCTGGGGCCAGCTGGTGCAGACGAGCCCCACGCGTTGGTGGGGGAGGTGGCTCGGTGGCTCCGCTCACAGCCCCTGGCCCCACCTCACCTGCTTGGGAAGCGCAGCCACCCCCAGCCAGTGGCTTCCCGGGTTCGTTCCCCGGGCTGGCAGCCAGCACAGCGGGCACCATTTTGGCCAACATGCTGGGGCCGAGCCGGGACCCCGCAGAGCTACAAGCAGGAGCCACAGAGCCCAGGGCTGCTAGTGGGGCTGTGAGCCCAGCCCCCGGGGACACGTGTGTGCACACAGGGCCACGGCCGGGGCAGCACGTGGGGCCTATTCCGAGGGCGCCACCGGGGCCTTGGCTGGATCGTCGGCAGGGCAGACACCTGCCAGGCAGGCTCACAGCAGCAGCTGCTTGTGCCTGAGGTAAAGGCCCAGGCTCGGTAGCTCAGGGCCAGACCCGAGGCCAGGCCCAGCCAGTAGAGGGGGAGCAACGAACCCCCCCAATCGATGGGGTTACACACAGGCCTGGCATAGGGCCGCCCCCCAGGGGGACTGCTACCCACGTGAGGTTCTAGCGCAGCTCCCTGCCTCCCCCGCTCGCTTCCCAGGATGCCAGGTGCTGGGGTGGCAAAGGCCCCAGTGGGTCTGCCAGCTCTGGGGGCTCTTCCCGCCATGGGAGTCCGCATCTGCCATTGCCTGCTGGGGGGGCTGGGCCCGCCGGAGATGCCCCCGCCCGCTCCTGGCGCCCAAGGCTCTTACTTGTCCAGCGCGGAGCCCTGGCTCTGGTTGCTGGTGAGGCGGGAGAAGACGTTGCGGTCGTTGCGCGGCCTGGTGGGCGGGGACGAGGGTGGCGTGAAGCCCGCGTCCGAAGTCCTGGGCCGGGGGGTTCAGAAAGAGACCCCCGATTACAAGCTTGGTCTGGGGGCCCGCCCATTGGCCCGCACCTGCAGGACCAGCTGGATCCGGCACTACACCCGGGCTCCGGCTGCTCCTCCCCAGCCGCTCCCCAGCTCACCTGACGGGCTGCCCACGGTCGTAGGACTTCCTCCGGGTCAGAGGCGAGGTGTCCGCGCCCCGGGACTGCCGCGGGCTAGAGCACAGCGAGACAGGTCAGCAATCGCCCCCCCTGGAGCAGGCCGACCCGAGCAAGCGAGCAGACCCCGGGGAGCGCGCACATCCACGCCCGAGCCAGGCGGCACGAGGCAGCGGCCCCGGCTAAGGGTCTGCGCGGCGAGTGCGGGTCCCGTGGCATCGCCACCGAGACTCTGCTGCCAGGGCAGGCAGCTCCACGCCTTCGGTAAGGGCGGTGGAGACCGGACGCCCCGTCCCTCCGAGACGAATCCAGTCATCTCCACTTCCCCGATCCCGTCCCCCACGGCCAGTGTCCCCAGACAGGCTGGGCCGACCGAGAGGAGTCCCGACTCGAGGCTCAGGGCAGAGCTCGGTGGCCCAGCCCACCTGCCCCCCGGGGCTGTAAACCCGTGGGGCCCACGCTCGCCGGCTTACAAGGTGCTGCCGCGGGTGGGCAGGCTGATGGTGCGGGAGACCTTGTCCTTGTAGTAGGGATCCCGGATGGAAAAGCCAATCCCGTCCTCCTTGATCTCCATGAGCGACACCAAGGACTTGGTGATGTTCTTGGTGGAGATGTCCAGCGTGGGTCCCAGGCACTCGGCCGACACAGCCTTCATCTGGCCGGACAGCTTGGGCTCCCCCTAGGCGCGGCACAGGGAGGGGGCTGGTCAGGGCCCTGAGGTGGCACGTGGAGCAGGTGCCCCTTGGCCGTTCACCTCCAGAAAGCCCTGGGGCCGAGCTGCCAGCGGTGGCAGATCTAGGGCAGCTTCTGCCTGGGCCCCATGCCGGCGTGACCGATTCACAAGCACCCCCGTGCCAAGCTGTGTGGCCAGGGAGCACCCAGACACCTCCCCGGGGCTCAGTGCAGCCCAACCACGTGGCACTCGGGGGTCAGACGGTGCTAAAGAAACACACCAGGCTCAGCCCACACCTGGGGCTCCTGCAGCTCCAGGCCCGCTTCCTCGTGGCATCCCAGCCCTGGGGAAGCCCTGCTAGGGGCCGGCACCGGGCCAGTGGGGAGCACACTAAGTACGGGCCCCGAGGCCCAGCTCTAGCTAGCAGCCCACAGTGCCCCGGGCCTCTCGGCGGCCAAGGACTGACCTGGAACTTGAAGTCATCCTGGCTGGCCGAGCCCTTCATGGTGAGAGACTGGGAGACGCTGTAGGGAACACAAGGGGTTAACAGGTTAGAACAGGAAGTTCCTAACTTCAGCAGCCCGAATTCCCCCATTTGGATTAAAAACATTTGGGACCCCCTGCCCCCCTTCTCCAGGGCCCCATCCTCCCTCCCTCTGTCACTTGCTCTTCCCCGCCCTCACTCTTTCACTGAGCTGTGGCGGGAGTGGTGGGGAAGCCAGCTGGGGGTGCGGGTCCCGGGAGGGGCCGGGGATGAGGATGCAGGAGGGGACTCCACGCTGAGGCAGTGGGTTGGGGTGAGAGGTCCTGGCAGCGCTTACTGTAGCTCCCAGAAGGGGGTGCTAGGTGCGCGAGCAGCCAGGGAGTATGCAGGCCCCATCCCCGCAGCTCCCATTGGTTGCAATTCCCGGCCAATGGGAGCTTCGGGCGGCGGCACTCAGGTGGGGCAACACGCAGAACCCTCCTGGCTGCTCCTACACCTAGGGCCCTTCCAGGAGCCATGTGGAGTCAGGGCAGGTAAGGAGCCAGCTTTAGCCCCGAGAGGGAGGAACTGTCTGTGGACACCCTACACATCCCAGTTTGAGAAACACTGAGCGAAAGAGAGGAACCACGGCCCCGAACCCCCGCCCCTTACCACCCTGTCACCAGCCTCCTCCACTCTCCAAGGGCCCTCCCCTGGTCCCGCCCTTTCCCCTCCCAGCTCCGCCTGGCCCCTGCACGCCTGGGTCTGAGCACAGAGGGGCTGGCTCTGATCGGGCAGGTCTGGAGAACAGAGCGAGTGCCCCAGAGACGTGATCGTGGGGGCCAGCGCGATCGCTCCCTAGATCCCGCCGCCCAGGGGCTGGGACGCGGCCTGCTCCCCAGCGCGCTCACCTCCCGTCCGAGGCCAGGCTGAACTCCGAGATCTCCTCGTCCGTGCTGGCGTAGCCGTTCTCTGCACAAGGAGCAGCCAACAGGGCGTGTCAGCGCTCGGGGGGGAGGGCTCTGCACGGGCCGGTCCGATCAAAGCCAGCCAGCGGGCAGCCGCAGAGCCGCGTACGGCGCCACGGGGGCCCCCACACCCTGCTATCGTGCTGCGAACCCTGCGCCACCCCAGCACTGCCGGGGAATCCTCGCCAGCTGCGACCACGTGGGCCTGTCGCACCTCCCCCAGGGTCAGAGCAAAGCCAAGGGCCCGGGGTGGGCAGACTGCAGGGGCAAGGGGGCAACCCAAGCCTTCCCAGCCGCTGCCAGCCCCCCCCCCCCAGGACTGCTGCTCCCCCGCCAGCCAGAGCACGGCACTCTTGGGGGGCCCAGCGAGGCACCCCCTTGCTGCACGTTGTGGATCAGCGCCTGCAGCTCGGGGGGGGTCTCGGCCTTCTCCCGCAGGGCGTCCAGGATCACGTGGTTCGGGGAGGAGCCGGTCACGTCCGTCTGTCTCAGGCGCCCCTCCAGCAGGCGGATCTGCGCTTCTTTCTGAGCCACCTGCAGCCCCTGTTCGGAGGGAGCAGGGGCCTCAGTCCAGCGCACAGGGCAGGCCAGCGGGTGGGTGGGATCCTGGCTCCGATCCCTGTCCCAGGGTCCACACCAGCCTCGGTCAGCTGCTGCTTGGGGGCAGTGGCCTTGGGCTGGGCCAGCCTCCCTCCCGCTGCGATTGGCACCCCACCCTGGGGCTTCCCGAGACCCCCCTGCGCCCCGCTGACCTTGTCGATGGACGCCTTGAGGAAGTTGTCCAGCAGCAGGCGCGCCTCGGCCAGGGAGCAGGAGCTGATCACCACGGAGGTGTCGGTGGAGTCCAGCTCCTCCTACGGAGCAGGAGAGACCGGAGGGAGGGGATCAGAACGGCCGTTGCCCCGGAGCTGGGGCAGAAAGCAGAGGGCCAGCCCCCTGAGCCTGGACTGGCGGACGCAGGGCTCTGGGGGCAGCTCATAGCACAGTAGAACTGGAAGGGACCTTGAGAGGCGTCAAGTCTAGTCTCCGGCCCTCACGGCAGGATCCAGCACCGTCTAGAGCATCCCTGACAGGCGTCTGTCCGACCTGCTCTTAAATATCCCCAGGGATGGAGATTCCACAACCTCCCTGGGCAACTTATTTCAGTGTTTCACCACCCTGACTGGTAGGACGTTTTTTCTGATGTCCAACCGAAACCTCCCTTGCTGTGGATGGCCTGGAGGCCTGGCTTGCCAACAGCGTGCATGAGCACACGCCAGCAGGGGCCCCGGCAGCTCTCGGAGACGAGGGGGGCTGCTCGCTAGCCAGGCACCCAGAGCAGAGCAAGGGCAGGATCACTCGGGGAACCGGTACCAGCAGAGCTATGGCTCCCCAGGGTGCGGAACACCCCCAGCCCGGAGACACACAGCGAGGCCGACCTATGGCCCAGCACGAACAGCCGCCCTTTGGGAGGTGGCTACCTGCTCCGGCGCACTGGAGCAGCCCAGTGTAAGTGTAGCATGCACCACTAAACCTGGGTACGTGCTCCGGGCACCAGGAGAGCAGAGCCACGTGGTGCTAGCCGGGGTCACCCCCCGCCACACGGAAAGACCAGCCCCCTCGGAGCCAGGCTTGCGCCACGGGCCTGAAAGTAGCGCCGCAATGTTCCCCCTGGGCTGCCTGGACCAGGTTACAGAGCCGGGGCTCCGGGCCTAGGGCAGGTGTCTCCCTGTGTACTCTGAGCCCTGCGGCCCAAGGCAATCGGCCCGGGGCTCGGAGACTCCGTGCTGTGGGCTTGTCTTTGCAGCAGAGACGCAAGGAGAGAGGCCCCAGCATTCGGGTGGGTCCCCAGGATTAAAAATGGCTTTTAGATTAACCAGCACGGTCCAAATTCCCTCCTGTTACACAGCCGGGCCTCGGCAAACGCCCCGCGCCTGAACGCGGCTTTCCGCGCAAGTTCGCCGGTTCGGTTCCCAGCACCTCCACGCAGGTTTGCACACCCACAGCTCTTCCCGTGTCTCCCCGGGGGGAGGGGGAAACGGCACATGGATTTGTTTTTCCCAGGGCGCATTTCCTACAGAAGCAAACGGCATTTCCGGGCCGCTCCCTGCGCTGCCCCGGAGGCTGCTCTGAGCACCTCGCTGACTCCCAGGTGCGATGTGACGGGACTGTTAGCGGAAACACACACTGCTGGGGTCTGCCCAAGCTCTGGGCAAAGTGGGCCCTGTTTCTAAACAATCGCCCTTTCCGTGTGCTCCTGCCACATTACACCAGGCCTCGGCGTTGCTCTGAGCCGCGGGGCTCCCTGTGCCGGGCGAGGCAGCGTCTGCCGGGAGACGCGCAGGGAACGGAGAAAGCCCGGTCCAAGCACGTTTGCAGCCTGGCAGCGAGCCAGGTGCAGCGACGCCGACACGGACAGGAGCGAGTGTGGCTCTGGCACCGGCGCCAGCACGTGCAGAACTTCCAGCGGGGCGCTCGGCCCCCCCTTCCGCAAATAGCCCCCCAGCAGGATGGAGACCCCGACGGCCCAACGTTTACGGGCCTCCCTGCACCCTGGCCTCGCCCGGCCGCAC